AGTACACAATTCTTTGCAATGTTGCACCAGTATCTTTAACTAGGCCACCATTTGGAATAGCTTTTTTTAGAAAAAAAAGAGATCCTTACTTAATAAATTAAATTATTTATTAGTTACTGATCTGTTCTCGTTAACACCTTATCACAAAAAGTATATTCGTTACTTAATATATCGTTGTATAAAAAAAATGTGAAACCTACAAGCATATTACATAGTAACTTCTTTAAATTTGTCAAAAATCTGGATTCTTTACAACACAATCTCGTAACGAACAAAGACATTCACTGTATAAAAAATATACTAAAATAAAATAACATATTATTAGAAAAACAGTTTTTCAGACTGTCACCTACACTTAATTTAAGTGTTTAAATTCATAATTTAAGAAAAAACCTACTCCACGATTTTTTTTAGTATCTTTACCAAACTCGTAGATGTGGGTAGTGGTTTCATTCTTTAAAATTTCTAATAATAAATAATAATTTATGTTGTTTACGTATAAACTGTTTCTCAGAATGGTGCACTTGCAGTGATGCTTTTATGGTGCTAGTTGTTATCTGATACAGACATTTGGACCAGATTTTGAAATCCATAATAAAACACCCACAATATTCACGACAATGAAGTCTCTAGACAGATACAGACGCGTACATTGCGTAGGAGGGAGCGCCTTTCTATTTATAATTTTGTTATGACTGAGCCCCCCTGCGAACATTTAAAGTTATATTTAACATAATACTGTCACCTACTGCTGAAAAAAGCGAAAAGAAAAAATCGTTTCCTGCACTTCAAAGAACTGCACGTTGACGTGCCTAAGATAAAAAATTGTCACAGGATATTTTGCGAAGACACAGTTATAACAGTGATTACAAAGAAAAGAGCTATTTAAATGTCCGAATGCTGTAGTTCTCCTATAAAACTAATGTAATAATTGAAACGATTAAAAGCCGAACTACGAAATTCCGTTTATGTACACAGTTATTTCGGTATTATAGGTTTCAAAAGCTCATGATTAGTAAATCTACGGCAACTGTTCATGAACGTACACCCGATTATTCCTATTATACCTTAATATATTTTCCCTCATTCATCAACTCGTTTACCGTTCAAGTCATGAAACAAATGTGAACATTTCTGCAGCTTGCACATCTTGACGAAATAAATCGGTCGGGGATGGTTTATTTTTGGTGTTAAAATGTGCAGCATCTGCGCGTGCTAAGGATATGCCATTATTCAGCAAAGGAAGAGGCACGTACCAAGATCGAAAATTCCTCGACAGGCATACGTATGCAACACCTGCCCAACTAAGCAATGATTTGAATTAAATAAAAGAACTGCATATAACCAGGAAAGGCACCACCTGCCTACATGAAATCAAAGACAGCTGTCGTTCGTACCGCCACAAGACACTGATCAAAATCAAATTTTTTTGCTTCATTATTTCTTTCGCAATTTTTTACCACTTCATTAAGCAGATTCAACACTTCAGTGACTTCTAGCCGTTACCAATTATTCTTTCATCGATGTGATACTGCCATCAATAATATTAAACACTTAAATATATTTAAAATTTAAATATGATTTGTAATAATTTATGTGGGCTGATTGTTGCTCCAAGTTCGATACTTCTTTATTAAGGTCTATGGTTCAGATTATGATGTTTAGCAAATATGTACTCAGAATAGGTAAAACATCTATAACCACTGACATCTCGATAAGAGTTAAAGTGAAATATAGTCAAAAAAAAAAAAAAACCGAACTATCAAAGCGATTTAATTACGTCCAGGGCCCAACATGTGCCACGCTGTAATTATCGATAACTTAGACATAATGGAAACAAATGAAGGAGCAAGGCACGTGACCGGAAGCACAGTCATGATTACACAGACCACCTGGCGGAGCTGCGTTTCTAAAATATATGTTTAAACAAGAATCTCTTTTAGTGGACAGGAAGATCGCCTCCGTTTTTTGGAAGTCTTCAAAGCAACAGCCGAGACTGACGAGTTTTTACTGTCGCTCAAAACGAACAAACATTCAGAAAATACAATCACATCGTGGACTTAAAATTATAAAATAGGCAATTAACGTCCAATCTATGGCTGCACTTAACGAAGTATGCATCAACCTTGGTTGAATGCAGGAAGGCCGCGCGGGGGCGCCAGATGCGCGCCAGCTGCTGGATGGCACGAGCCAGCAGCTGCTGATGAGACCCTCTCCTATATCTAATCTTTTGCCCGTGTTATGTGCCAGTAAAATGATGACCATCTAACACCTTCCTTCATCAACTCACTTAAGTTATAAGCTTTGCAGCGAAAGTTGTTACGAAGGAGCCTTAATGAAGTTTTAAGAGCTTAAATGTGGCAGAGTTAGATAAACTTTTGTGATTTTACTTACTCTAAACCAAAAAATGTTCGAGTAACCTTAATACTGTACGCTTCATCGGTTCTTAAATATCTTATGAAGTGGCCTTGTTAACGTCGGGGTAATAGTAGAAATCATACGTATCTTTACTATTTACTACCGCCCTTGCTCTATTAATTATTACTGAAAGATTTATTGATACCTGTGGAGCTTTTTGCGCACATAAAAAACGTTGAAATTAACCTCCCTTTTAAAGTGTGACAAAACCGGAAGGGTGCAGACCGAAGAAGATAGGAAGGGTAAAAAGACTGCTGTGGTAAAACTGCATCGCGTGCAAGCTGTTGGACGGGGTTGAGGTTCAACCACACCTGCTTGTAGCAGATGTGCACGTCTACATCCTAAGGTCCCGTCTGTATTCAAACCAATATTTCAAGTTACATTAGATGCCATCTTTATTTCCATTTCGGTACTTGGCAGCTCTTACCAATTGCAGTAACATTCACACACAATAATACGTCACAATCTCGCGTCCAAAACAAACAGTTGGCAAAAATTTTATATTTAACAGAAATAAAAGCTTTTGCAATCTTGAGACTTATTCCTTATGATTGCTGATTTCTTCCATAGCTCAAACAGTCAACAACAACTCCCGACATCTTTGAAAACATACTATTGGTCATTCCATGGACATAGCCCGAAGGCAGGTAACTCCCACCCATGACAAAAAGCTGCCGATAATGCTTCCGACTCGACAACAATTGGCAACAGCGACCGCGCAAAATCCCTTTTTTTTTTGAAAAAAAAAAAGAAAAAAATTCACAACGCTTCTACGGTATCTCAACTTGATCACATCCGCTACTGAACGCGAGAAAAACGCGCCGCAGTTTTTTGGAACAGCTTATAGTAATGAAAATATGTCGCTGGCCTCGTTTTTCGCAGGATGAAAACACCTCATCTCTATAATGGTCCAGACGGCGAACATTGCATAACCTAGACGATGGTGCGAATGTGAGGATGAACTATTTCGGTTCGATGGGAGGGTATATTTAGAGAGAAATCTCGGACAGCAGCAGCAATCGACGCGCGGTCATCGCACTTTCGAGGAGAAGGGGTTGACCTAGTCGGACGATGGGGTGCACGGCTCAGGTCAAGGGGTAAAGGTCGTTGTCCTGCTGCCATCCCCTGCTCAAAAATAAATCCCATCGACTCCACATACGCACAACGCAAAACCCGAATGTCTACACTCGCCGGGAAGACGCGACAGGTTTTACTGTCCTCGGAAACGGCTAATTAGTGTTCGGAGGTTCTTCGGTTGGGCGAAGCGACATTTTTCGGATGAACAAACTTTTGAACATCATGACTACATACACATTAACTTCAATTAGACGTAACACTAAATTAAGTGCAGTTCAAATGGTTCGACTTGTGGCGGGCCCTTCGCAAAATCTTGCGAACATGCGCAAATACCCTTCCTCGATACGGGAGTTACGGAAAAGCTTTACGTTGCACATGCTTTATGTATAACGCAGATTTGAACCAGGAACAACGGATAGAGAAAACAATTTTGTGGATTACTCTTTTATGTCGACTGACATTCCGAGTGAAATCAGGGCCCATATTTACGTCTCTATGAAGAATTTGATACGTGTAACACTTTCGTCTTGGGAAAAAAATTCTGGTCCCTTGACATTTAAAATCTTATGCACATCTCACGCGATTGTTGTTTTTTATGTCTGCATGGGTACAGTAAAGTGCTAGACGTTCCAAATTCAAGTTGTCCCGGTTATTCCTGGCGCCGGCAATTCTAATCCAACGCCAACTCCGCACATATCAGAAAGATGTGCCAAATCTCCCGCCTCAAGTTCTGACTAACGACTAAATAATTCCTTATTACGAAGATAGATCGATAAGACAAATTGATTCACTAAATGTAAATTCGCTTCACATCAATGAACACGGATGTTTGAAAAATTCGTAGCCTGATACAGAAATCGTGCTTAAACAAGTCCCCTTTTTGTGACTATTAAAATTCTTCATAAAACTGGCCGAAAATTTCAAGTTTGTGTCTCAAATTCCTATATGGCAATAAATCCTTACAAATTATAAGTTGTTAAATATCTTTAGAAAAATGCATTTTATGCCAGTTTTCTCAGTGACAATAACAATATTTCGAAGAATCGTAACAACTGCAGCTATAAAAATGTGAGGCGACGTCAAAATCCTCAAATCTTAAATTTATAAAATGCGTTTATATTTCCAACAAAACTTAAAACCAAGATGGATACTTGTAGAGCGTTGTTGTGTCATATGGTAATAAAATAATAGACAGCGCTCTTCAGACGCGGTCTCGTGAGAATAAAAGATCTAGTTCACAACGGCAAAGGTTCAACTGAAGCTAATGTTAATAACAGTACTTTTTTTAAGATAATCATAAGCGATTATCTCTCAAAGGGCCAGATCTACAATGTGATAATTGTTACACTAAATTACGGCATCGCAAACATCTGTTTACAAATAATGCAGCAGTACCGACACAAATAAGACCAATAAAGCTGAGTCTCTAATGGTTTTTGTAATATTTCAGTCGGTCTAAGAATTTTTCAAACACCCCCGTATATCAATAAATAAAAATAACTTACCGATCGTAGACATTTCCAGACTGGGCGTACTTTTGAACTTGGGACAATGGAGGTAAAATGTCGTCATCTGTGGAACTACCCGAAGAACAATCTCCTTGTTCGAATACACCTGGTCAGAAAGAATTTTGTGACTTTTGCAGTATGCACTCATGCGTTTGATACTTTAACAATGGTAAGGGTGAAGTACCAACTGCCACCACACATTTGTTCATTAAAAACTCAACAAAATCTGTGTTCAAAATTTTTAAGTTAATTTGATGCAAGATGTATTTCAAAAGGACAATAATCAAATTCACAATAATGTTTAGCAGATGAAAATGAATTATCTCCTGACAAAGCAATGAACAACTCTAAAACAGCTGCATACATTACAGTTTATTGTAGTAAATTTTGCACTGTTTTTAATATATTTATTTCCATATGCTACGTGGATTGTGAAAGAAAAGTAACTGTTTAATGAATGAAGTTGATTACAAAGAATTTTCACAAGCAATGAATGAATGATGCATTTGATTTTAAATGTGGTTTTTCCAATTATCGGTCGCCAATATTCCAATTACATCAAAACTACGCTCCCACTTCGGAAAAGTTTATTTTCCTGCAAAACTCCAAAAGGAATGTAAATTAAACACTTTTTTTGCAAGCAAAATCTATAAAAATTCACATGTAGCTAGAGGAAGGTTTGGTATTTTCACAAAAAATAGAATAGATGTCTTCTGACTTCATTTTGTCGCTATGCAAAACGGTTCCAGATCAGATTCAGAAACAAATGTTATGATTTGAACTAGTATAAAAGCTCCATGTTTCTAGTTTTTGTGATTTTATTTTATTAAAAAAACTGCAAAACTTTTAGAATAAGCATGACTTATGTGACGAATAAAATTTGTAACACTTTTAAGGTACGTCTTTTTTATTGAGTATTTGAGTATTTTTAACATACATTAAAAAAACACTACATATAACAAATCTCGTTGTAGTCACTTCATTGCGTATTTCCTTATTTCTGATATATTTGCACTAATGCAAGATACGATTTATGGTAATTATATGAAGTTCCAATTTAAATGTCCGTTCCAAGTAAAATGCAAATGATTTGGTAATAATTTAGCTATTTTAAATTTAAGAATCAAATAAAATACAATGAAAAAGAATAATTTTTTACCACTACAAAATACACAATCATGTGCTTCATCAAATTTAAAACAATCTGGAGAAAACCAAAAGAAAATCTACTGATAGTAAATTATCATTGCCATCCAACAACAATAAATGCAAATGTCATGCACTCGGTCGGTAGAAAAGCACAACTTTTTCGTAAATCGATAAATCTTAATCATTAAAAAATCCAACAAGCGAAAAACTACGCAACACAAAACAAATCATTAAGGCAAAATCATCGTTAATTTGTGCCTGCAACAAGCAAATTAACAACAGATAGACCATCGATCATCGTCACCTAAATCAAATTATTAGCAAAAAACAGGGTGCGGACCTGACAGGTTCTATACATCTCTTCCACGTGAAGAACATGATGGTGGCGTAAAATCCCAATAATTACGCACCACGCGCGCACTACATCATCGAGATCGTCCACGATGGGCAAGAATCGGCCCATGATCGAAATCGCACACGAATAAAAAACGGACGTATGCTGTCAAAGTTGCCGGCCGCCGCCAGGACATCGCCCGCCAAGGAAAGAGTTTTACGGAGATCAGTCGGGTGGAGACGGCTGGTTCAGTGCGTCACCGAACGTCGTGGGGGCGCCACCGATCGGTTTAGCGACCGATCCGATCAATATGAGCGTGCGTACGGGCGTGGTGAACACTTCAAAATCCACCAACATGGAAAAGCCGCACACCAAGAAGGAGCGTACCTGACGTTTTGCCCCGTTTGTGCACCATTCCCTTTTCGCTTTTGCCCCCGCCTTGTTGCGTGTCTCATTTCGAGACATTTGCATAACGCATACGAACAAAAATCAACCACGTTGACGAATAAAAATGGCGGCCGTACTGCAGGTCGCCGAACGATCTGCAAAATTTTGATTCAAATGCCCGGATATTAAGCAAAACTAATGTTTAAAGGCGATATTTATTCGACAATGCGCAAATAAATTGCACGTCTAAAATTTTTGCAAAACCGATGTCAGGTCAAAGTCATTTTGGCTGTTTTTCTTCCGTTTTAGAATGCAAGATAGAACGGTTTTTAAACTTGTATTTTGTGAGCTTTTTTGCACAAAATCGGAAATATCTGTCTAATTTGTATTGTTTTAGTATTTTACATCTTAAATTTGATCACAGAAAGTTTGGTATTTTATTGATGGACTGTACTTCCCTATTACACTTTTTTGGTCTCTTGAAAAGGAAAATTAAGGCTAAAATTTGGTTGTTTTTTTCTTAATCTTCTACACTATCAACAGGTAGGTTCTTGCAATATATTTAATGCTATATATTTCGAAAAATTGCAAAACATGTGTGCAATTCTCAAGAAAAACTAAGTATTTTTTAAAAGTAATACAACAAAAAAATAGCAAAACCCAACAGGTAGGCACCACGTTTTTCCTGAGGTAGTTGTAATTATTATTATTAGAAACTTTAACTAAAATCTAACGATCATAATCACTGCAAAAGAATGTTTCGTCTTCTGTTAAGTAGAAAAAATTTGCAAATCCTTGATAAAATATAATCCATTAACAAAACTGAGACGCTAATATAAATTTTAGTATCAAAAAAATTTTAATTTTTAGAATCTGCAGCAACTGCTGAAAAAGCTCCAACATCTTAGCAAGCTTTTTAAGATCATGGTTAACAAAGTTGGGACATTTACGCCTGCTTAACGTTCTTTAATATAACACTGCTCCAAGACACAATGCAATAAAAAAAAGTGAGATGAGCATGGTCTTTTCTTTTACTTTTTTTACAGGGATGCGAAGTCTTCAACGTCCCAAACGTTTTCGTGATTTTTAAGTAAAACGAAATGAGAATGTCCTATTTTTCATTAAATTTTCTCAAAATATGTGATTGCATTTGTTATTACTTCTCTATACATTATATAATGTTGTATCTCATACAAATTATATTTTTTTGTTAAGCCAAAAGGTAGGTTGAACATTATGTTTTATGAGACTTACAACCGATAAAAAAAATCTGTTGCTTCACTTCTCTCAAACTGATTTACTTATATGTTATTGGTACATAGAAGTGTACAGCAAAAGAATAGTAGTTTAAAGTTAGCTCGCAAAAAATATAGAATACAAAAATTTTCGGTGGTGATGTATTCATTTTATATTATTAGTTAAACCAAACAAATGCAAAAGGTGAAATTTCTCAAATACAAGTATCAAATTAGATCTCGTTTTTAGTTTAAAATTAGAGAAGTATTTGACTAAAACTAAATCCTGAGAATAGATTCCACTGTAATTTGGTAAAAACAGTCCACTTTACACCGAGTGCTTTTTTAATTTATTTAAATGATATAAAGATATCCTTTAAAGGCATTATTATTTTGTAACTTGATGTCAATTCTCTAGGAATATCGGCATCATTAATTGAATAACTTGTGACACTGTTTAGAAGGTAAAGAACTATAAATTTACGTTTCAAAATCTGAATCTTGAATAATCACATTTTCTAAAATGTTTTCTTCATAAATAGTGACGCTGTTTGCAAAGGTTCAGTTTAAATTTTCTGCCTCCTGAAGAAATACAAATATTTTAATTAACTTGTAACAATAGCCGCAGAACCAGCAACACCTTTACCCTATCGGACAAAAATAGGTGGTATAATTAATGAGTTAGAAATAAGTATTTAATATGAATAAGTATTTTATGGTTAGTTAACTTTTGGTTAAAGTTAACTTGTACTAAACACACGTCACTAACGTTTCTTCATGTCTGTAAGCTAATTAGTACTAGTTAGCTTTTATTTAAATGAAATCGAAACAGGAGTTGGAGTTACGTTTGATCAAACTACTGCTGGTCGAATTTTATCAATTTCGTTGTTTAAACCGCAAAGCCAGAATTTTCCTTACCAACAATCAATTCTGCGTGCATGTTAAAGGATAATCTTTAATAAAGATTCGTTTAATTCTACGTAAGAATAAATATTTTAATTTTAATACATGTAAATATTATCATGACGTTACTGTTTTAGGAATTTTAGGAAATTTGAATAAAAAAAAGTGGAATGTTTCTGAGAAAACTGAAAACATCTAAATCGGTTTATAAATGTATTATTCTTGAGCATGCTCTCTCTCAGTTAAAAAAAGTTTTGTTGCTAGTATCCTCCAAACACTAAAACAACATTTTTTCAAATATTTTAAACAAATTCAATTTTTTAAATAATATTTTTTTAGGATAACCTCTACAATTACATGTTAAAATGCAAATAGGGGTGGATTAGTAGACCACAGGCAAAGGAGTAATGTATAGTTTTGATGCGTAGAGTATCGTACCAATAACAACAGTACTGTTTCCTGAATTTCGGGAAAATACCAATTTTTGATCAATAAAATAATTTAGTTCATTCACTGACTTTTTGAGAAATCCTCTATCAACAATTCTAAGATGCAAAAATATACAAGTAAAACAGATAACGCTGCAATTGAAAGTATATTTTTTAACATTTAATTAGTTCAACTTTCTGAGTGGGATGAATACATAGATTAATCGATGTTTCGTAATAATGAAATCAAATTTAGTGTTTCCAAAACTTTTATGAATGTTCATCATGTAGTTTCTAAGAAAAAATGTATATTTCATTGTACAAATTGTATTTATTTAACGACAACAGATTAAAAATATGGATATGATTTCACTACAGAAAAATGACCAATAAACTGCACAATAATCAGTCCCTTGTTTATGTTGGAAGGGAGTCCACTCGATGTGCAAAACAAAAACGAAGACGTTTTATAACATTTTAAAAAACTGTGTAAGAAAGGGCGTTTTCGACGACTTAAGGTTCTTTGCTTGCCACTTCAAACAGTAGACAGATATTCTTTTCCCTTTGACATTATTGTTTTCATATTGCCCAATTAAATACATTAACATTCGTTTCTTACTTTTGTAAAAATCGTTTTCGTGCATTTTACTTTTGATATAAAATTTTAGTT